ATCAAGGGTTCATGAGGGAGGGGGCAGCGGAAAGGGAGGGGGGGAAATGAGGACCTGATGCCAAGGGCTTAAGTGAAGAGCAAATGTTTTGAGAATGATGAGGGCGAAGAATGTACAAATGTACTTGATACAATTGATCGATATATGGGTTGTGATAAGAATTGTATGAGCCACCAATAAAATGATTTTTTTTAAAGGCAAGATGTTTCATGGCACTTAATGTAATAGCCCATAAAACCCACAATGCGGCCGCCGGTGCCACCATCTCACTGCACCCACCCCACCCCCCACCCCCAGACCCTGGTCACCACGATTGCCTATTCTGGATATTTCCATTTCCTGGTGTCTGCCTTCCAAGGGGTGTCTCTCTGTGTCTGATCGCTGACCTCCCCATGTGCAGCAGTTCTGGGTCTGCTCTCTCCATTATGAGATGCCACTCGCAGGAGATCCACTATGCTCTGGTGTGACCTTGTTAACAGGCGGGGGAAAATCGAGTACCAAACAGTTACATTCACAGGAACAAGTGTTAGGACTTCTGTGCTGCTGTTGTGAAGACTCACCAACCAGTCCCAACCCCAGCATGCCCAGTCCCGCACCAGCCTCACAACGGTGCTGGTTGAACCCATGGTTTGCAGCCTCCATGTCCATCCATCTCCTGGAGGACCGGCCTCTTTTTTGCTGCCCCCTACTTGGCCAAGCATTCTATTCCTGTAGTGTTAGGGGGCCGGCAGCCCCCAGGGGCAAGTTTACCCTGTCTTCAAGAGTCACTAGAAGTCAGAATCCACTCAATGGCAGCGATTTGGAGCTTGACTTTTGAGAATGGCCTTCTGCAAGTCTCTCCTTGGAAGTCATAGGACCTTTGAATCATCGTCCAGGTGTGCCAACCGCCTGTCATTGAGTCCATTCTGACTCCCAGCTGCCCCATAGGCTGTCCATCTTTACAGGAGGAGAGCGGTTTGTCTTTCTTCCATGGGTTCAAACTACTGGCCTTGGGGCTGGCAGCCTACACACAACCCACTCTGCATATTGACATCGAGTCCATGCCGACTCCTAGTGACCCTCTAGGACCGAGGAGAACTGTCCCTGGGGGTTTTCGAGATGAACTTTTTATGGGAGTAGAAAGCCTTATCTCTCTCCTGTGGAGCGGCTGGTGGTTTCGAACTGCTGACTGAGCTGTTAGCAGCTCAATACATCACCCACTATGCCAACAGGGTTCCCTCACCTGTCAGTGAGCCCACAGCACGCTCGCTAGACAGCCGGCTTCTCTGTCCTATCACAGGGGGAGCCCCTGGCCATGCATCAGGGTCCTGAGGGCTGCTAGCTGGGAGAATGGTGACACCAAGACCACCGTCTTTGATTTGCTTTTTATTGAGCTTTAGGGCCAACCCAGAGATGTTCCTAAAGGCAGCTGGTGGCCACGAGAGGCAATGGGTGCCAGGTTGTGGACTCAGGCAGTTGTCAGGCCCCGGGCATTCCTGCCAAGAACAGCGCCAGCAGAAGCCAGACTGCCATGGAAGAAGAGGGCAGGCAGAGAGGCGGCATATCCAGAATATTCGGTATGGCTTGCTTTGTGAAGGGTAATTTTAGGGTTCTGGCCTGAGTCTCCTATAAAAAGGTCATGACCTCTGCTGGAGGGCGACTCCAGATACTGTGGCCACCCTGGGGGCTGGCACCCGAGCCTGGACAAGCAACCTGGTGACCACACCACCTGGACTCGCCACTGAGTCCCCTCCTGACCCATCCAGCAAAGCCTGGTTGAACTGAGGAGGGACCCTGACAGGCTGAGCCTGGGGAGACCTTCCCAAGGAGAACCAGATGGGAAAGGCCAAGTTGGGGTTGGCCTGAATATCCTACTCCTTGGCTCCACAGACCTAAGAGCACACAGGACACGGCGGGAAGCTAAGGAAGCCCAATCCCCCTGAGCTGCCCTTGTCCACTCGCTCGCCTTAGAAACCAGGAGGCCTAAGTCCAGGCCCAATTAAGAGATCAGAGGGTGAAGGGTTTGGGGAGCTTTTAAGGTGAGGAGGCCCTGGTTGATCCCGCAGGCTGGTATAAAGTACCATGACCCCCCCAGACAGAGCATCAGGGCTGTGGGCACCAGGGACAGGGCTGTCAGAGCCATGGCCCAGCGGTGGGGCGCGCACAGGCTCACAGGTGGGCAACTGCAGGACACCTATGAGGGCAGCACCCGCACTAGCATTTTCGTGTACACCAACAGCACCAGCACCAGAGGTGAGTCTGCAGCGATGGCCGACCCAGGGGCCTGAGGGCCTCGGGTTTCTCTCCATCCCACCCCTACCCCAGTTCCACGGATCAGATGAGGCAATTTCCAAATATCAAACCACATGGGCGTCCCCACCCCAGAACGCATACTGAGGGGAAGCTCCTGGAGGGAGGGCCCTAGGGGTTACCAGCCCTTCAGGGTGCAGACAAGGATACCCTGGCGGCCTCTCCTCAAGCCTAAGCCCCCTTGGAAACACCGCCAGGTCCTGCGCCACCCTCACAATCCTTATGTTGGAGCCTAGTGCTGTAGCCTGTGTCCGCGCATGTCATTGAGGGCCTTCCTCTTTCCGTCCTTCCTTGTTCACGCACCCAAGTGAATTGCACTCACCCCTTGTGTGGGCACCACCACGCCCTGGTTCCCATTTTCTTCATTGTCCTCCCCGCCCCTGGTCTCTATTGTAATCGGCCACCGAAGTGAGATTACACACCGATTTCACAAAGCATGAAATGTCGAGCCCCCGGTAGACCCCCCCTGGTGTTTGCCCTTCGTCTGTGGATGGGCACTTGAGTGGGTGTCACTGCTGTAAGCAGTGCTGCCGTGATCAGGGGCATGGAAAGTAGTTCCCTATATAGAGCTGACTGGAGCCCTTAGATTAGCAGCCAGTTTAGGGCATCTGAAAACATCCCACTAGCCAGGGGGATGTCAGCGGCTATGTGGGGACTGGCAACTGGCAGCGAGGGTTGTGGTGTGCTGACTGTAAATTGCTCCACCTTCCCTGGTGTGATTGGGAGTCAATGAGACCCCTTCAATGTCTGTGGTGACCTAGGGATGGCATCTGAGTCTTCACAGAAAGGCCACCAGGGGGAGGCATTGGAGAGCAGACTTGCTTTCTCACAGGTCTAGACTCAGGATCCAAGTGCAAACCAATGTTGCCTTGTCTGGAGCCCTGAGTGTTCTCTGCTTCCTTGGCAATCCCTACAGGGCCCGCGCATGTGCCTCGAAATCTAATCTGCTCTTTTTATAACTTAGAAGTGCTTAGCTTTTGACCCCTCCGTATTCAGCTGTAATCTGATTAAGGTGACAAAGAAAACCCGATGTCCCAACAGAATTACACCCACAGGTGTGGGCTAGGGGACACCATCTAATCCCAAACAGATGGGCAGTCTGGGGCAGACAGGAAATGACAAGTGTTGGCGAGGCTGTGGAGAAGTCAAACCCCGTGTGCACAGAGCTAGGATTGTAAAACAGCATAGTGGTTGTGGGAGCAAAAAGGTTGGCAGTTGCTTACAAAGCTAACCATAGAATGACCACATGGCCCAGCAATGCCACTCCTAAGACTATTTCCACCAGGGCCCTCAGTAGGAGACTTGATCAGGCCACGCGAGGGCATGTTGCTCAGTTCTCAGAGAACAGAAGTCCTGGCACATGCTGCAACCTGAATGAATCTTGCCAACATGTTGTATGGTGCCACTTCTAAGAAAGCCCGTGAACAGGCGAATGCATAGACAGAGTGATGCATATTGGGCTGCACTCCACAAGGTTAGCAGTTCAAAATCACCAGTTGTTCCATGGGAGAAAGACGGGGCTTTCTACTCCTGTAAAGTTATTCGCAGAAGCCCACAGGGGCAGTTCTACCCGGTCCTGTAGGGTTGCTATGAGTTGGCATCAACTTGATGGCAGTGGGTTGGGTTGGATTGGGTTGGGTTTGCAGCAGCTGAGGAGAGGGAGATGGGCAAATACCATTGAAGGGCCACAGAGTTTCTGTTTAGGGTAGTGACCAAGTTTGGTGGTGATTGCAAAATAAGAAATGGCAGTGGTGAAAAGTGTGCCTCCTCCACAAGGGAGTATACGATGGAGGTGCAGTGGCCTGTAGATGGGGCACTTGGCCAGCCCACGGAAGGGCAGCGTCCTTTGGGAGCAGAGATGCAGCCCCAGAGAGACGTGGCCTGCGGGTGGGAAAGTTTGCAGAGTGCCGGCTGGTGCGTCCGTTCACAGATGCTCCCCAGCCCCATCCTGATGGCCCTGCCCGCTCTCTCCTCTGCCCTCCTGGCTCTAGGCCCCTTTGAAGGTCCCAACTACCACATCGCCCCACCGTGGGTGTACCACCTCACCAGCACCTGGATGATCTTCGTGGTCTTTGCCTCTGTCTTCACCAACGGGCTCGTGTTGGTGGCCACCATGAGGTTCAAGAAGCTGCGCCACCCTCTGAACTGGATCCTGGTGAACCTGGCGGTGGCTGACCTGGCAGAGACCATCATCGCCAGCACCATCAGCGTGGTGAACCAGATCTATGGCTACTTCGTGTTTGGCCACCCTCTGTGTGTCCTGGAGGGCTATACCGTCTCCCTCTGTGGTAAGAGAGCACTGGGTGGTCTGGTCCAGCCTCGGAAGCCTGGGGTGTCCACGCTAAGAAACTGGGACTTTATCTGGTAGGAGACCCTGGAAGAAGCTAGAAGTGGAAGGCTAGGCTGAGCATCTTAGACCCCAAAAGGGAGAGGAAGGGAGGCAGAACCTCGGAGAAGCTTCTTGACAGTGAACGTTTAGATGTCCTGCCAGTCCCTGGGCTCTGTGGCCATTAGGAAGCAACCTGAGTGTACGTGCTTCATGTGGCTGCCTGGGTTGTCGGCCCCCAGCTCACTGTAGCCCACACTGACCTCCAATTCCAACTCTTTGCAGCAGGGGTGGCATGCTGTAGTTTCCCCTATAAAACCAGGACACCAGTGTCCATCTCAGGGGGCTGCTGGGCAAACTCAATGAACTCATTGAACCCTCCCACACCCTGCGAAGGAGGCGGGGCTCTAACTTGAATATTTCTGGCCTGCACTTGCTTGAAGTCCTGCACTCCCTGCAAAGTACAGAGTGGGAGCACCCAAGGAAGGCGGGGGCCAGAAAGTCCAGTCTCAAGGTGGTCTCAGCTGTCACATGTCCTTTCCTGAAAGTCCCCACGTCTCCTGCTCCTACCTGTCTCTGGGCCAGCATGTCCCTGGATGGCAGCAAATGCCTGGTGGGAACACCGAGCAGCACACTGAACCAACACGCTGCCGACTCCTGGCAGCCTCGCAGGACACAGTAGAACTGCCCCTGTGGGTTTCCGAGGCTGTAACTTTCTCCCATGAAGCAGGTGATGGCTTCGAACTGCTGACTTTGTGCTGTGCAGTGCAGCACCTAACCCATTATATCACCAGGACTCCTCACCAAGAGTACTCGTACAAAGTTTTTATCAGGAATTATTCAGAAAAATGAGCAAGATTTCTATTTCTATTTTGTCATATATCTTTTTCCCACAGTAAAAATATTGGTAATGCAGTTTTTTGCCAAAGTGTTCAATAATGGGGGGGGGGGCTGGGGGAGTCAGAATTGGTTTGATGGCAGTGATTGAGCTAATGGTAGCCTAGTGAATGACACATTGGGCTGCTGACCTCAAAGTCAGCAATTTGAAAGGGGCAGGCTCTTCAAGGGAGAAAGACAATACTTTCTGCTCCCATAAAGAGTTAACAGTGTGCAGGGCTGTCTAAATAAGATAGGCTGGATGAACAATCTGGAGGAGAAAACAATGGGACTGATGGTTCCAGGGGGACAAGGGAGAGAAGTTTGGGGGAAAGGAAGTGGTATTAACAAACCCAGGGACAAGGGAACAAAAAGTGATCCAAATAGGTGGCGAGGAGGGTATAGGAGGCCTGATAGGGCGTGATCGGGGGTAATGTAACTGAGAGGAATTATTGAAACCCAAATGAAGGTTGAGCATGATAGTGGGACAAGAGGAAAGTAAAAGGAAATAGAGGAAGGAGCTAGGAGGCAAAGGGCATTTATAGAGGTCTAAATAAAGGCATGTATATATGTAAATATATTTATATGAGGATGGGGAAATAGATCTATGTGCATACATTGATAGATTTAGTATTAAGGTAGCAGATGGACGTTGGGCCTCTACTCAAGTACTCCCTCAATGCCAGAACACTTTGTTCTTTTAAACTGGCATTCCATGATGCTCACCTTCCCGACATGATCACTGAAGACAAAGCGGGTGCATAAGCAAATGTGGTGAAGAAAGCTGATGGTGTCCAGCTATCAAAAGATATAGCTTCTGGGGTCTTAAAGGCTTGAAGGTAAACAAGCAGCTATCTAGCTCAGAAGTAACAAAGCCCACATAGAAGAAGCATACCAACCTGTGTGATCACAAGGTGCCGAAGTGATCAGTTATCAGGCATCAAAGAGTGAATATCACTGTGTGCTCACCTCCCATATATGATCGCTGAAGACAAAGCGGGTGCATAAGCAAATATGGTGAAGAAAGCTGATGGTGCCCGGCTATCAAAAGATATAGCATCTGGGGTCTTAAAGGTTTAAAGGTAAACAAGTGGCCATCTAGCTGAGAAGCAACAAAGCCCACATGGAAGAAGCACACCAGCCTGTGTGATCATGAGGTGTCGAAGAGATGAAGTATCAGACATCAAAGAACAAAAAAATCCTATCATTGTGAATGAGGGGGAATTCAGATTGAGGACCCAAGACCCATCCGTTGGCAACTGGACATCCCTTTACAGAAGGGTTGCGGAGTGGAGGTGAGCCAGTCAAGGTGCAGTGTAGCAATGGTGAAACATAAAACTTTCTTCTAGCTCCTAAATGCTTTCTCCTCCCCGACTATCATGATCCCAATTCTACCTTACAAATTTGACTAGACCAGAGGATGCACACTGGTATAGATAGGAACTGGGAACACAGGGAATCCAGAACAGAAGATCCCTTCAGGACCAGTGCCAAGAGTGGTGATACTGTGAGGCTGGAGGGAGGGTGGGGTGGAAAGGGGGAACCGATTACAAGGGTCTACATATAATCTCCTCCCTGGGGGATGGACAACAGAAAAGTGGGTGAAGGGAGACATCATACAGTGTAAGATATGACAACATAATAATTTTTAAATTATCAAGGGTTCGTGAGGGAGGGGGAAACGGGGAGGGAGGGGGAAAAATGAGGAGCTGATGCCAAGGGCTTAAGTGAAGAGTAAATGTTTTGAGAGTGATGATGGCAATGAATATACGAATGTGCTTTACACAATTGATGTATATCTGGATTGTGATGAGTCGTATGAACCACCAATAAAATGACTTAAAAAAAGTTACAGTGTGGGAAACCCACAGGGGAACTTCTTCTCAGTCACTAGGAATCAAATCCACCCGTGGCAGTGAGTTTGGTTCTGATTTAGGGGCAGTAGGTGTGCCGCCTACTGACATTTCAATTATCTTATCTGAGATGTCCATCAGTGGTGGGGTGCAGGTGCTGTGCTCTGTCGCATACTTTCACCAGGGAAGCAAATGTTTCACTTTGATTAGAGGCCAGTGTGAACCAAGATGTCCTTGGCTGGTGGCCAAAGGGTGAGAAGGTGCAGAGGCAGCAGGCTACCTGATGGTTTCTCCCCCTCCCTCCTGCTTTCCTCCTTCTCTCCATTCTTGTAGTTGGTGTGTGGCCGTTGGTCTCCTGTTCCAGAAAAACCTTCCTGGATGAAGGGGAAAGAGCGAGCAGGGGTCAGTGGGGGAGGAAAGGGGTGGGGTCCAGACACAGGAAAGAACTAGGTAAAAAGGTAGAGTCCCCACAGCCACTGAGTGCCCACGGGGCCATCAGTCAATCCCCAGCCCAACACAATCGCGAACATGTTCTCCCTGGTGAGTTTCTCAGGCCAGTAGCCCCAAAGAGATGGGATGACCTTGGAGGCTTGGGGTGACCTTTTAACCCAGTCTGCTCCCCCCACAGGGATCACAGGCCTCTGGTCACTGGCCATTATTTCTTGGGAGCGATGGCTGGTGGTCTGCAAACCCTTCGGCAATGTGAGATTTGACGCCAAGCTGGCCATCGTGGGGATCACATTCTCCTGGGTCTGGTCTGCCATCTGGACGGCCCCGCCCATCTTTGGTTGGAGCAGGTAAGGGTGCAGGTGCCCCAGTGGGGAGCTGAGGGCAAGGGGTCATTTGGGGAGTCACTCTGACTTTGGAGAGCATCGTGGCCTGTCTCTGAGCCTCTGCATGCTGTGAGGAGACGGGCCCAGCTCTGCCTGAGAGCCCACCAGGGTGTGGTGTCCAGGATGCTGACAAGAACAGAAGCCAGGAGGTTGCTGGAGAGACTTGAGACCCACTGTAGCCAATCATTATTGAGGTGTGCCAGGGACATCGGGAACGAGAGCACCCCTCAGACATGAAGTTACTGGTTAGATGTCATAGACTGAATGAGCCATTTCAGGTAGAACCTAATGTCCATGTCCCCTCTGGCCACCGAGAGGAGGGCTTCATGGCCACATGGAAGTGTCTCCAGTAGCCCCCAGGGACAGAGCTCTAGCAGGGAGCAGCCTCCAGAAGCAAGAGATCTTTGTGGAGAGGGGACATGGCTGTCCCCAATGTCCCTGGCGTTTGCAATCTAAAAGGGGATGAGACCTACAAAGGGGCACAGACTTAGCACATAGAGCCCCGTACTGTGGCTGCCTCAGTCAGGTCCCTGCCCGCAGGTACTGGCCCCACGGCCTGAAGACCTCGTGCGGTCCGGATGTGTTCAGCGGCAGCTCGTACCCCGGGGTGCGATCCTACATGATCGTCCTCATGATCACATGCTGCATCATCCCCCTCAGCATCATCGTGCTGTGCTACCTCCAAGTGTGGCTGGCCATCCGAGCAGTAAGTGCACCACCCCCAGTCCCGCAAGACTCTTGACGGTTCCCTGGAGATATGGCCATCTGCAGGGGCCCGGCTGGTTCCCTTGCCACCACCCTCAGTGGCAAAGCCCATTTCCCAGGGACTTCCAGGTGCTGACCAGATCAGGTAAATGACACCTAAAATTTAACGGACCCATGGCGCTGCTCACCCAGACTCACTCTTGCTCCCGCAGCCTGCCCCCAGAGAAAGGCCAGCAATGAGGCTGGGCCCTGGGGTGCTACCTACTCTGTACTGTCCCTTTATCACTCTCCTCCCCTTTGGGGTGGGAGCACACTTCCCATGCCGCTGCGGGCACCCAGTCAGATCAGCCTGTGCTCTCACACCCTTGTTCCCTGGAGCCCGACCCTGGCCCATCCCTGTACTCCCAAGCTCCCGTCCTCTGCCTTCCTGCTGGCTGGCCCCTCTGCCCAGCACCTCTTTCTCTCAGAGCACAGGAGTTGGGCAGGCATGGCTTGGCTCACTGTGCTTGTCGCTGCCTCCAGGGAAAGGAGTGGGTGTGACCTTGCCAGCAGCCAGCCCTCCTCTGAACAAACTCCTGGGGGCTGCTGGCCACTCTCCACTCAGGACTCCCCTGCTGTGGGCCCCTTCCTGCAATGCCAGCGAGCTTAGTGGAAGGCTACACTGGCCAACTTCAGCAATAAAACCTGGGATACACCCAAGAGGTGGCGGACGGGGAATAGGAGTGGCCCACAGGCTGTCTCTTCTCCCTGGCCACCTCTCCCTGCCTCACAGCTGCTTGTGGCTGGGCATGGCTACATTTCCCCTGCAGGTGGCAAAGCAGCAGAAAGAATCGGAGTCTACCCAGAAAGCTGAGAAGGAGGTGACACGCATGGTGATGGTGATGATCTTTGCCTACTGCCTCTGTTGGGGGCCCTACACCATCTTCGCGTGCTTCGCCGCTGCCCACCCTGGCTACTCATTCCACCCTCTGATGGCAGCCTTGCCAGCTTACTTTGCCAAAAGTGCCACTATCTATAACCCCGTCATCTATGTCTTTATGAACCGACAGGTAGGTACTGCCATGGACTGCCCCACTTGGATCATGTCTTTGACAAGGAAAGGGGGAGGCTGATCAGATCTTGCAGGACATGGGCTTGAAAGAGTTAAGCATGTGACTGGGCACATACGGGGTGCTTGGTCCTTGGCTTGATGGCCTGCTTTCCGTCTAGGAGAGGCTCTGCGGGCTGAAGAGATGACATAGGTGCTGACGCTAGTCCCCATCTTGCACCCTAGATGAATGAACTAGACTAGAAAAGCCAGAGGCTCTTTCCAATCTTCGGGGAATGGTCCCGCAGTGTGACACTGCCCACCCCCTACCCTCCCGGCAGGTGCCTGGTCATCTGGGAATGCCAGGAATCACCTATGCCCTGGTCCTGTCTCTACCTGGGCTTCTGACTGAGGGCACCGAAGGTCTGAGGTCACTAGGGGACACTTAACTAAGCCCACCACCAGCCTGAGCACCAAATGTGGCTGTGATTCACAGCAACTTTCCTAACAACAGAGCAACATGCTGCTGCCCTGTGCCGTCTGCAAGGCCATTCTTTGGGGGCTGAGCTACCGCCTTCAGGATTGGTGTGGTTCAAATCCAGAAGCCACCATGTGAAAGAAAGATGAGGCTGTCAGACAGACAGCCAATCTCAGACACCTTATCGAGCGTCACTGAGCTGGGTTGGGTTGTTTTCATCTCAGTTGTGGCTACTGTGTCTGTTCCATCTTGATGACCCTCCAGGCTGGCTCCCCGCCCCCTAACTACAGCTCTCTGTCCTCGCAGTTCCGGAACTGCATCTTGCAGCTTTTCGGCAAGAAGGTGGATGACAGCTCCGAACTCTCTAGCACTTCCAGAACAGAGGCCTCATCTGTCTCTTCTGTGTCGCCTGCCTAAGTCTCCCCAGGGGTTCGGTCTTCCCCCCCTCCCCTGAGAAATAAGCATAGTTTCTCTTGGCCTCCCCCACCTGTAAACAGGTCCTCCAAGTGACTGGGCAGTTTGGGGTGCCTGGCCAGTCACTGGTTTTGCAGGGGGGTGAAGCGTGGGCAGGAAAAGACTGAAACTCTGCACTTCATGGACTTTAATCATCCCCAGTCCTTTGAGGGGAGCCTGAATGTTGGGGAGCCGGCGCAATTGGGAGGCTCTCAGCGGGCCGGGGCTATGGACTCAGAAAGGGGCTGCAGCTGAACTCTTGGGGGCGTGGAGGTGGGGGAGACCCTCAACACCCAGCAAAAGACAAGTCCTGCCTGCGGTCTTTCCAGACTCTACGTTCCTTCTGCGAGAGGCTTGGGGTCCCTGGTATAGAGTCTCCACTTAGAGGCAACCCAAGCCTGCCAGTCAGCGGTAGGGATGGCATGCCGCTTCTGCCAAATCAGCACCCCGAGCCCTATGAGTACGAGGGAGACGCACATGCGCAGGCGCGTCTTGAAGAAGGGCCAGGGGAAAGCGCACATGGTGGAGATGCAGACCAAGAGGATGGTGGCCAGAGTGAGGAGCAGGCTGATGAACTTGAGCAGGAACTCCCTTGGCCGGCTCCAGAACTGCTTCGCTAGCTCCTTCTGGGCCACCTGCTGGAGGCTCTCCAGCTTAGTGACCCGGCTCTGGAACGTCTCCATGACCTCCTGCAGGTGACAGACCCACAAACATACTTACTTCCCCCGTCAGAATCATGCAAGCTCCTCCAACATGCCCTGCCAAGATTGAGGGACTAACTCTCGCACCCAGTATCTCCCAGCGCTGAGAGAGAGCCTGCTGTCAGCCAGGCAGTTAAGGGCGGAAGGCACAGTTTTCAAAGGACACTCCCCCGACCCATTGAACTGAGGCCACCTTGATTACAAGAACAGCCTTCCTGAATGACCGCAGATGCCCAAGCTAAGTGGCAGGGAGTAGTGTGTGGGCTTAAAGGTTGGGCCCCACAAGCTCAGAGTTCCCTGGTTTTGCTTCTTGGACTATCAGACTTCCCTGTCTCACCACAGACAGGCCCACATTCTCTCCCCCCCCCCCCCCCCCCGGGGTTCTCACCCAAATCTCCTTGGCTCTCTCATAGGACAGGTAGGCCATTTTCTCCTCGGTGGAGGCTAGAGTATGTTTGAGGTAGTAAACCTCATCCAGGTAGCCCTGCAGGTGGTTGTTCGCCTGTTCCGCCATCAGCTGTTGTCTTGGGAGATAAAGACAAAGGAACACCCCTTCAGCCCCTTGCCCCGAGTTTGTGCTGATGGTGACCTTTCTGTAGCCAGCAAAGCCCTACCTTCTTCCCCAGGGTTCCTAGGAGGCCCTCCCCCCCACCCCCCGCTGCATGCCATTTACTCATCCCCCCACCCAATATTCATATATATATATTTTATACACAGTTTTTGGTAACAGCTTACAAACAGCGTTCTCCACTAGAGATGGTCGAGAATCCCCTCTGAAAGACTGGTTCAATTCCACACACATCCCCAGCCGCCGTGTCAGTCTTATTCCATGAAAACCGCTTATCACAGGGAAAAGCCACAGAAAGCAGAGTAGGGGGGTGCCGGGTGCTGGGGGCAGCAGGGTGTGGGGTGGGGTGACTGATAATGGGTGTGGGGGTCTCCTTTTGGAAGTGATGGAAATATTCTGGAAGTAGATAGTGGGGATCGCTGTACAAAGCTGTGCCTATACTCAAAGCGCTGATTTGTATGCGTGAAAAGGGAGACATTTATGGTATGTGAATTTTCTCTCAATAAAGCTGCTATAAAAACGGACAGTGGCAATGGTTGTGCCATTAGTGACTTCCTTACACCCACTGAAATAGACATTTTAAATGGTACATTTTATGGAATGTAAATCATACACACACTCCGTGCTGTGAGCCCTGTTACACACCCATGCCTGCAGTGACAGGGACAGCTCAGGTGAGCACCACAAGCAGCTCTCAATTTGACAGAGGCCAGGCCCTTTATGAGTCAGGCTTTGCAGCAGATCTAGCTCCTTATCGAGTCTAGCCCTTGGGGACAAAATTAGGCCAGCTTCTTAGCCATAAGCAAATACCGTAAGGAACTGAGTCACTGGGCTTGAGGGTTTAGGTCCATAGCCTCAGGGGACATCGAGGTTGCTAGACATCACACAGTCCACAAAGTCAGGGTTTTACAGCCTACTTTGGTCCTAAAAGTTTTGGGGTGGCCATCTGAGATGCAACTAATGGCCTCTCCTCAGCCAGGGCAAAGAAGAAAAGACTCAAGGGAAGCAATGTGTCCAAAGGACTAATGCACCCCATAAATCACTGCACCCACTAGCCTGAGACCAGAGGAACTACCATAGATGGTGCCCAGCTACCACCACTCCGTCTGGCTCCCGACAGAAGGTCCTGAACAGAGTGGGAGAAAAAGTTGAACAATATTCAAAATTGTAAAAAAAAAAAAATAGGAAGAAAGGAAAGAAAAGATAAAAAGGACCAGACTGCCTGGTCAGAGAGACCCTGACAGAACCGAGGCTGTGGCCCTCCAACACCCATCAGGTCTACCTGGCCCTGACCTCTCTCCCCTAGACACTGTCATCAAATGGATTCCAACTAAGAGTGACCATGCAGGACAGAGCAGAACTGCTCCCTAGGGTTCCCAAGACTGCAAACCTTTTGGAAGTAGCCTGCCTCATTATTGACCTGTGGAGTGAAGGGTAGGCTTGAACTACCGACCACCACACCCCCAGGGCCCTTCAGCCAGAACAGACCTATGAAATGAATGGTAAAATTGGTGAGGATCATGCTCCCCAGAACAATCCACCATATCCCACAGCAGTTGCCCCCAGCAAGCTTCAGCAGAGACGCAGGGTGGGGCGGGAGGAGTGTGGCTACAGTGAGGGAGGCAGCAAGCAGGACCAGACTGACCTGCTTGGCAAACATTCCCTCGAGGCAGGGCAGCGGCGGCACAGCACGAGGGGGAAAAGGAGATCTGGGTCTGAGTAAGCTGGAAAAGGAACGCAGGCCTGAGACGGAAATACCTCAAAATTCAAACACCTGGCGTCCCCAGGCAGCTGGGAGGGGTTGGCAGCAACCTCCACGAAGAGCCCAGGTGGCCTCAGGCCCCGGCTGCTGAGAAGAGGAGGGGAGAGGAATCCACCAGAGTGCTGACCTCTGGCTCCCGGGAGCGAGGTCAAAGCAGGCGTGGTGATGGCTGTGGACTCCTGGTCCAGACCACAAGCCACACACCTAGAGGTGTTGCACGGAGAGGGGCAGGCTTGATTGGGTGGTTCTTGGAGGCCGTGCAGGACCCTCACAGGGTAATGAAGGAGTTGAGAGGTCCCTTGGGAAACAGCATTCTCAGGACAGCCCTGTATCTCTGGGAAGAGGGTCAGCCGACATCCGGCTGAGGCTACTACCCACTGAGAGGGAGTTGGCTGGACTTCTCGTTCCTCTCTTCTTAGTCACATGGAGGAAGGAGACACAAGAATACTCCAGGTGTCACGGGGGCAAGTATTTTCCGACTCCAGTCCTCATGAATCACAGCAATGAGAACATTCCTGGTTGTGGACTGCTAAGAAAGGACACAGTAGTATGGGCTTTGGAAGACATCAACGGACACGGGACAGCTGGCCCTTGACCACCACAGGTCTGGCTTGGTTAAAACCTTGCTGAAACAGGTGAACTACTTGGTGTGTGCAGATTGCGTTGGGAAGGACCGGCGTCGTGGCTGCAGCTTCTCCTGCAGGCGGGCATGCTTGGCTTTTTCCCAGTGGTGTCCGCCGACCGTTGACATAGCCAGTAAGACCTCGGCCAACAGTCTCTGGGTCTGGAGGAGTCAAAAGTGAGACGTGGATCTCCCACTGCGTGGGACATCAGCACCCCAACTCTCGTTGCTCAAGACTCGACTGTCTTTTCTATTTCAGTCCCAATTTTAAAAACTTTTATTAGAGCTCACATCAGCCAGCTGAATTCATTTCAGCCCCTTACCACCAAAGCTGAGGGTAGGGGGTGCTTCAGTTTCTCCACCTTCCCCTGGTCCGTGCTGATCCAGGTGTGGAGGCACCTGCTGCAGCGAACCTGGAACTTCATGTTATCCGTGTTCTGCTTGAGCTTGACAAACACAGCAAGCTGCCAGAAGCAAAGAGCTCGGCTCTATTTCCTTACAAAGACTCTCACTGTTCTTGTGGTGGGGGCTGGCTCTTCTCCCCATCTCTTCCTCCATCAAAACCCCTCTGTGCCCAGCCTGCAGAGACACTGGGGAAAGCATGTCTCCAGTACACACTTGCCCAGCGGACAGGGTTTCTCCCAGAGCACATGCTGCCACGAGCCTCCGGAGAAGGGCCTTTGGGACAAGTGAGTTAGCACTTCTGGTTTGTAGTGTGGAGGAGGAGTCTGAGACAGAAAAACTGATGTGAGTGTGACCAGGTTGTGCATGGACAAGGGGCTCAAGCAGGGGAGGCAAGGTGCCAAATGAGGGGGGATGAGGGGGCGGAAAGGGGAGCAGCCCACAGGCAGGTTGGAAGAAGACGGAACAGTGACCGCATCAAGTGCTATTGGACAAGCAGATAAGAAAAAGGCAGAGTGTTAAAGGGAGAACAAAAAAGGTGCTGCCATGTCCAGGTACCTCTCACCCAGCAGAACTCATCTGCTTCCTCGGGGCCAGTGTCGGAGCGGCCCAGACCAACTGACAGCGCGTGGCCTGCTGATGAGCTGCCACTGCGCTGTGGCTCGGAGGTGCTGCCGAGAGCTCCTTGCGTCGGTGCACACGGGGCAGAAACAGGCAGCCCCACCAAAGGAGGGCACCCAGAGAAGGACCCCAGGGATACACAGAGGCTTTCTGAAACCGTCCGGGAGCCCTTTCCCTGTTGGCGGGCCTAGACTGACGACACCGAAAGCCAACTGGAGTCCCTGCACAAGGGAGACAGACAGACAGAGAGAGACAGAGACAGAGAGGATCATGCCCAGTCTGTGCTTTGAGCCAGGTGACGGGAGCCAGAGGCAGAACTCAGCTGCTGCCCTCCTCCTCCAGCCCCGCACCACCACTGCCTCCTGCCATGATGAAGTCAGAGAGGACCTCCTCCACATCCCAGCCAACCTGCCCTGGGCTGGTGAGCGGTGTAAGGCCGACGCCCTGGCCTGTGCCCCCTGCCACCTCACCTGTAGTTGGTCTCCTGCAGGGTCTTCAGTGCCAGCTGCAGGTTGGCCTGGCGCTGCTCCTTGAGGCACTCACAGGACACCTGGAGGCCGAGGTGCTCCTTCTTGATCTCTGCCAGCTCCTCCTTCATCTTCTGCACAACCTGCTCAGACTTCTGCAGGGTGCCCTGCTTGCTGGGCTGGGTGACCTTGGGCCGTCTGGTGGCCAGGCGCTCTTTCCTGGTTGGGTTGTGGGCCTTGTTGTGGGGCGGCGGCATCTGGCACTGGGCCTGGCTGCAGGGGGCCTTCAGCTGGGAGCTCTTGGGCTGACTGCCCTCCTCCAGCTCCTGCAGCTGTTGGTGGTATCGGCGGAGCCTTCGTTCTATCTGGGCGATGGTGGCACAGGTGCGCTGGTTCACTTTCTCAAAGACCTGCCGGACTTGCTGCGCCTGGTGCCGGTCAGCTTTGGCCACCAGTTTGAGGTAATCCATGGTGTTGGCGTCCCGCTTGCCCTTCTCCACTCGCAGCTGCTCTAAGAGGTGGAAGATGCGGTGGCGGATGGTCTCCTTCCGGTTGTCTTCGTGGGGTGACAGGGCCCTGGTGGAGGGGACGCTGTGGGAGAGTGCTGTAAGTGGGTGTGAACATTCTGCCTGCAGTGGGAACAAACCATCAGCAAATGGATTAGGTTTGGACACAGGCACATGGGACATGCATCTGCTCACAGAAGCAAGATCCAAGCAGTCCCCCTCCACGCAGCACTCGCCCCAGACACTACAACACCCTGTACCCGACTCTGGCTCCCGAAGAACCTCGAGAGCCCTCCATCTCCAGCAGATCAGCCCCTTGGAGCTTGAATCTCTCTGATTTTCTCAATTAAGATTTACCGATTGTGGGTCTCATTTTATAAAGAGCTGCTGTTGCAAAGCACAGAACAAACACATTGGCCCTAGCCAATGGGGTTAGAATGTAAATCTCCCTGCCCACCCCACTGATCTCCCCAAGAACAGCAATACCAAGGGGCTGCAAAAAGTTTGAGGAACTGTTCCCTTCCCAGGGTGGACAGGGAGATTTCCATTCTGACCAGCTCATTCATGAGCCTACTGTGGGACTACCATGGGTACACACAGACATGGGCTCTGCTCTCATAGAGCGGGGGGACAGGGGCTACATGCTACTCTAAGCCAGCTCAAATCCTGGTGGCCTTGAGCCACCTGAGTTTTCCTGTCACCAGCACAGGAGAGTGAGGAGCTAGGAGCCCTAGGGGCCAGATCAGGTACTGCCACCTTCTTCTTCCTCTTTGAAACTGCAATGAGCACCACCTCCTCCGTGCGTGCTGCTTCTTCTACTTTCTCTTTCCTTCCTTCGTTTTCTAAATTCCTACTGGGATGTAGGTGGAACTTACAAGGCCAATTGTATTTCGTTAAATTCCCAAAGTGGCTATGGGACACACAGAGACTGGGGGACCTGACCCAAACGCCTGTGATAGGAGTGTCCACCTTAGCGCACATGTGGATGTCTGATGCATCTTTATATATACGCGTCAGGTATCACAACTTTTAAACATGTTAAGATCCTGTTTGCCAATCCATACACGTTTTGCTTTGCAGCATTGATTGCAAGGGTCTGTGTCTTCCATGACAGGCCAGTTATAGCTAAAGGGGAACACCACAAGGAGACAGGTTAGCACAGCCCAGACAGAAAAAGTGTTGGCAGGGATGTGGACTAACAGTGGAGCAGGTGCCTGGTCATAAGACTGACTTGTAGTCGGGGCTGTACACGTTAAGCTCTCTCCCTGCAGTTCTAATTTTACTGGGGATGGGCCATTGATGTCAGGCTAACAAGCTGGGCTTCCTGTAAGCTATGTCCTGAGGCCAGAAGGCAAGTTGACCGAGGCAGCAAACGCAGCAGAGAAGGGGGAGCGATGTCAGGGCTCATGAAGCTCACTCATATGCCTTCTTCCAGAGCTGACCCCCAGACAGGGCCGGCACCCTGAAGTAGACGGCTAGTCTCCTGAGCTCTGAGCAAGCCATCATGTGTGTTAACGCTGCCTATGTGGGCTCTTTCTGTTACTAAGGTTCTCAACCACCAATAGCCAGAAACAGCGACAGAACATATCCTTATGCACCACATGCTCCCCAAAGAACCTCCACACCCACTGCCATTGAGTAGATGTGGACTCCTAGCAACCCTGTAGGACAGGGGAGCACTGTCCCCGGGGCTTCCCCAGACTGTCACTCCTGACAGGAGTAGAGCGCCTCTTCTTTCTCCCCTGGAGCGGCTGGTGATACACCAGTCAGCAGCCCAACGTTATGGAATCTAACTACAGGCTCAAAACACATGCCTGATACTGTTTAGGGATGCACTCACAGGCAGTACCACTATAAAGAAAAGCAGGGCAGGAATGATGTGTCAACAAAACAGTTAAATGACAATAACTTTTAAAAAGAAAAGCAAGGGACATTAGTAGCATAACCATTAGGTCAGCAGCTCCCACTCGGGTGAAAACAGGAGGCACTGATGGGGCGAGGCCATGGCGATGCCAGACAAGTCTTTCTGTCCCTAAGTTAGATGGCACAATATTTGAGGTATGAGGGGGGCTTCAAAATGCTTGTGGGGAAATTCCATTAACCTCTAATTCCATTTTTTCAGCAATTTTCTGAAGTCCTCTGATATGATATGGCCCTCCTCTTAGCTATGGCTGGAGAGATTATTCCAGAACTCAAACTCACTACCAACAAGTCACTTCTGACTCACGGTAATCCTTATGGGCAGAAGAGAACTCCCCCTGCCTGTGGGTTTCCAAGGTTATCAATCTTTAGGTGGGCTGTCTTAAACAGATCTGTCTTGGAAGAATTACAGCCAGAATGCTCCTTAGGAGCGAGGATAGTGAGACTTGGTCTCACATACTTTGGACGTGTTATCAGGAGAGACCAATCTCTGGAAAAGGACATCACGCTTGAGAAAGCAGGTGGTGACAGCAAAAATGGAAGATCTTTGACAAGATGGCCGAACACAGAGGCGACAACAATGGAGTTAAGCATAACATCAGTTGTCGGGGTGGCAACGGACCGGGTGGTGGTCATTCCCTTGTGTGCAGGGTCACTACTGAGTCAGAACCAACCCAACAGTCCCTAACAAGAAGAACCAATCTGTACGGGAGCAGCAAGACTGGTCTTTCTCCCGTGGAGCGGCTGGTGGTTAGCAGCCCAACCGGGAACCCGCTATGCTACCAGGTTCCTCCGCGAGAGATTTAACTGCAAAATCGAACCAAAGAAAGTGCCTGGAGCGCAGCCTAGCCACCCAGAGAAAGAGAGAATTGGAAGGTTTGAAAACTTAGAAGAGATGCAAGATGGAGTAAGTTGGTCACACAAAAATCTGCCATCCCAGGGTGAGAACGCAGAGAGACTGGGTCAGGACCGATATATCGCAGAGGCTACGAACTTTCCAGAATTGATGAAAGACACATATCCCTAAAATCAAGCAGCTCCAGAAAGCCCAGAGGGAAAATAGAAGTCAGTCAGCCGGCATCGAGACCCATCCCAGTGCAGTTGGAACCTGTTTGTTGTTGCTCACGCCATTCGCCATTGAGTCGGCTCTGCCTTCCGGTGGCTCCGGGTGTGTAGAGTGAAACTGCGCCACAGGATGTTCAAGGCTGGGACCTTTTGGAAGCAAGTCACCCGATTTGTCTCGCGATAAGTCTCTAGGTGGGTTCCAAGTGTCCACCTCTTGATCACTAGCGGAGCCCTTTACCGTTTGTACCTCCCAGTGACGCCCAGGTGCCAAACACCAGAGACAAAGACAAGATCTGAAAAGCCAATGGAGAAGGGGAAACCAATTACCTGTAAAACCATGACTTTTTAAATGCACTGACTTCTCAACAGCATCGGTGAACTCCAGAAGACAGATGGGTATCTTCAATATGCTGGGAGGGAGAAAAAAAACGAAAACACACGCAGGTCACGTACAAAGAATCAGATAACAGAATGTCTTCAGGTGGTGGTGGTGGCTTGTTTTAAAAAAAAAATCAACAACAGCATTGGAATTAGAAGATAGTTACGTTGGGCCTTCAAATTCCCTAGGCGAAAATAATTTTCCAAGCTACACTTCTACGCCTAGACTGTCCATTGTAAGCTTAGAGCAAAGACATTTTCCAACATTCAACTAGTTAACCTCTTACGCACCGTTCCCTGGAAGCTCCTTGAGAAAGCGCGCCTCCAGCACAAGGAAGTAATTCCAGAGAGAATGATGGGATCTCGGGACAGCGGGCTCAAGTCAAAACCAGACAAACACCAAGTACTCCCAGAAGGTGGACAGGCAGGGCAGCTCAGGCTCAAAGTAAGCCCAAAGGCTTGGAGGGAGGGTGGTATCTCCGAGGGCACTGAATAGAATACCTGGCATTGGGAATGTATGGATAGGAGGCTCAGACAAGTGGGATTTTGGGGGGAGGGGGGGTGTCTTGTTTTGTCCTTGTTTAAAATAAATTTTGTTGCAGAAAGATTTAAAACCTGCCATGGAGTCATACCTGACTGATAGTAACCCTACCTAAGGTCTCTGAGACTGCCAGTCTCTACAGGAAGAGACCGCCTCATCCTTTTTTCCCACAGAGCAGCTGGTGGCTTTGAACTGCCAACCTAATAGCTGCCCAACCCCAATACAATTTCTATTTTAACCAGTTGTAAGTGACATTAATTATATTCACATTGTGCAACCATTACTATCTAGTTCCAAAATGTTTCATCATCCAAACACAGAAACTCTGTACCCCTTAAGCCAGAATGTGCCTCTGCCCCTTGGTTCAGCTGTTTCAGATCATTGGATGATTCTATATGTGCCCCATGTGGCTGATTTCTTTCCTTCGGTGCCAGGAGAAACACAGAAACCAGCTCACAGAAAGGCTGGTGCCTGGGCCCTCTAGAGATAAACCTATTCTAAAACCACTATAGTTAGCAGTGACTTTAGGTGTGATTCAATACACATAACACCAATTCATTCTTCCATCCACTTTAGAAGGTGCAGTACAATGGCTTTTGGGTGGTCATCAGTTCGATCCAGCTGTGCACTCTGGGTTGCCCTCCCGCCCCCCCTGACTGCGGATTCGGGCTAAGAGAAAGGCGACTTGCGACCCTGGGGGTGGGGGTGGGGTGCCGTTTTTGTTTGTTTTTTTAAAAAACATCTCACATCAGTAGCATGCAATGTTAAAATATAGCTATATGCTTATAGGTCGTGGTTCCAACCCCTAAAGATAAGGCGACAGAACGATGCTAATCAGAAAAGGCACTAATAAGCAACATTTTTAAGAGGAATCCAACTCACTCCAGCACTGGTGGGGGGCAGGGGGAAAGAAGCATACAGGAAGTCGAGGGGGCTCCCGTGTTCGCATAGACCCCCACCCCCCACCCCGAGCGGCCTCGTCTGGACACTTCAGACCATTGGCATCTCTCTGCCAACAATCACGAAGGTGCAACTCCTAGGACACAAGTCACCATTTTCCGAGGACCTGGGGCCCCTCCCAGCCGCTCCCGCCATCGGTCGGGCCACGCCCCGCTCCAGAACCTTCCTTGAGAGGAAAGCGCAAGCAAGCGGGGGCGCGCACGTCGAGCGGAGATTCATCCGGGCAACCTCGGGGCGCACGGCGCACGTGGACTGCGCCTGCGCCAGGGGCTCATATGTGCAGCTACATCCGGCTAGACGGCATTTTCCGTGAGGCAGCCTGACGAGCGGCAGCATGGCTGAGGGCAGCTCCTCGAGGGCCGAGACCCCGGTCCCTGACGCTGAGACGCTGCAGGTCCTGCGCGATATGGCCAACCGCCTGCGCATCCGTGCCATCCGCGCTACCTGCGCCGGGTGAGTGGGCGCGTGGGGGCTCGGTGGGGAGGCCGGCCGGCCGGCCGGCCGGCCGGCGGGAACTCTGAGGTGGGGACCGGGAGGCCCGGCTCGGGCCTGCCCGTGCGCCTCGCCCTCTGCCTTTGGGGGCTGGGGGGACGGGGTGCAGGCAGCTGGTCCGCACGTCCAGGACTCAGACACGGCTCTTATCGTGGCCAGAGGGGGGTGTCGCAGTCCCCACTCCCTCATCCGCACGGGAGCTTGGGGTGGGGGGCGGGGCGGGAGAGCGTTGACGGCCCAACCGTCGGCCCGCAGCCACCCCACTTCGAGCAGCAGCGCAGCCGAGATCACGTCGGTGCTGTTATACCACACCATGCGCTACCTGCAGGACGAGCCTGAGAACCCGGACAACGACCGCCTCATCCTCTCCAAGGTCCGGACTGGCCCTTAGGACGGCGGGGAGGGGGTGGCGGCGGTGGGGGAGGGGTGGGGGGAGGGGCAGAAAGCGGGCTTTCACGGGAAAGCAGGCCCGGATCTCAAAGTGGTGGGGAGGGGGGCGGGGCGGGTTCTGAGCTGCGGGCTCTCATTTTGCCTTGCGCAAAAACGTAAAAAGTGTGCGTGTGTACGTGCCTTGTGAAAGAGGAACCCTGGTGGGACCCGTAGTTGTCCACTTTGTCGGCAGTTTGAAACCGCCATCTTGTTAGAAGTCTCAGAAAGGGGTAGGAGTCAGCATCGACTCCATTTTGATGGGGCTCGTACAACTCATCCCAATCCATACATCCATCCATTTTGCAATTGGGCGTATTGTGTGCATAGCCGGGCGGATTCTCAGCTGCGGCCTCTCATTTTGCCTTGCGCAAAAACGTAAAAAGTGTGCGTGTGTACGTGCCTTGTGAAAGAGGAACCTTGGTGGGACCCGTAGTTGCCCACTTTGTCGGCAGTTCGAAACCGCCATCTTGTCTGAGGAGAAGTCTCAGAAAGGGGCAGGAGTCAGCATCGACTCCATTTTGTTGGGGCTCGTACAACTCATCCCAATCCATACATCCATCCATTTTGCAATTGGGCGTATTGTGTGCATAGCGAGGCGGGTTCTCAGCTGCGGGCTCTCATTTTGCCTTGCGCAAAAACGTAAAAAGTGTGCGTGTGTACGTGCCTTGTGAAAGAGGAACCCTGGTGGGACCCGTTGTCCACTTTGTCGGCAGTTCGAAACCGCCATCTTGTCTGAGAAGTCTCAGAAAGCGGTAGGAGTCAGCATCGACTCCATTTTGAAGGGGCTCGTACAACTCGTCCCAATCCATACATCCATCCATTTTGCAATTGGGCGTATTGTGTGCA